CTTCACTCTCTTGATGTAGTCACCTCTAATCTTTTTCTTGACTTCAGTGTGCTTGATGTTGTCAGCTTGAAGGATAGCCAAGTATTTGTAGTACTCTTCCTCATCCAGACTCTTAATGTTATTTTCGTGGGGCATCTTGATTCCTTCAGTTTTCACTATTTTTCCTTGTTTGATAGCAAGTGTGGCACATTTGTCCAAGCCAAACTCCATTACAATATCTGGGCTATATATACGGACAGTGTTGAGCAGCGATTCTATTTCAGATGATGTTTTTCTATACAGCTTCAGATCATCCATATAAAGGAGGTGGGATAGTCTGGCAGATGTTTTTGATGTTTGATAGCCATGTCCTGAGTTATTCAGTGTTGTTGACAGAGGAAACAGTGCAATAACAAATAGTAATGGTGATAATGAATCTCCTTGAAATATTCCTCTCTTGATATTAACCTCTCCCAGTCTCTCACCATTGATCTGCAACTGTGTCTTCCATTGTGCCATCGATCTTTGCACAAATTTTCTGATGTTTCGACTGACTCCTGTTATTTCTAGGCACTTTAGTATCCAATCATGTGGCAGAGAGTCAAATGCCTTTTTGTAGTCAATCCATGCCACATTCAGGTTGGTCTTCCTTCTCTTGCAGTTTTCCAAGATCATTTGTCTATTAGGAGTTGATCTTTTGTTCCTCTGCTATTGGGGCGGTTTCCTTTCTGCTCAGGTGGAAAGAGATTGTTTTCAACTAGATGCTGTTGTACTGCATCAGCTACCACACCAGTTAGTAATTTGAAAGTTGTTGGTAAACAGGTAATTGGCCTGTAGTTGCCTGGTGTTGCCCTTTTTGCTGGATTTTTTATTATTAGGTAGGTTTTCCCAGTTGTTAGCCACTTTTCAATTTTTCCTCCTTGTAGTATATTGTTGAACTGCTTGGAAATGAGTGGGTGTATAACAGTTAGATGTTTCAACCAAAACCCATGCAGTTCATCTTCACCTGGTGCTGACTAATTTTTGATTTTCCCTGCTCTTTTTTCTACCATTTTTGTTTTTATTACTAGTTCTTTCATTTCAACTTCTGTTTATTTGCATCCACCTCTTTTAACCAAGCCGCATCCTTGTTGTATTTCTTTGGGTTATCCCATATCTGCTTCCAGAATTGCACTGTTTCTTCCTTGTCAGGTACTGACTGATTCCTTGCAGTTTCTCCATTGATGGATTGGTAGAAATGTTTCTGATTGGATTGAAATTGGAGTTCTGCCTATAGTTTGCAATTCGAGCTTCATATCTACTGATTTTCCTGGCTATAGCTGTTATTTGTTGCTTTATTATTTCCAGTACTTCCTTGATCTTCCTTGTTTCTAAGTGGTATTTCTTGATTATGTATTCTTTGGTCTTCTTGTTCTTCAGCTTCTTTTCTTTCATCTGTTCTAGCTTGCTTGCATGTGATCTTAACTTGCTGATCTTATTTTCTAGTCTAACCTTCCATTTTTCTGGTGCACTGTTTGTTTGTTTTTCTTTTTTGTTGATTTTGCATCCCAGGTATTCTGTTATAACTGCAGCTCTGCTGTACATTAGTTGGTTTGTTTCTTGCAGTGAATTGGTGTTTATACTTGATATTGCAGTATTTGCATCTTTTAATGCTTGTGCTAGCTGTTTCTTTGGAACAAGCTTCAATGCAGGTAGCCTTATTCTGTTGTTTTTGTGCTGTTCTAGATGCTCTATTATTATTATTATTATTATTATTATTATTATTATTATTATTATTATTATTATTATTATCGATCATCGCACAGTCAGCCAGATGTTCAGACTGGATTTGGCAGTTTGTCTACCTATCGAGTCCTTACCCAGGACCTGGGATAGGCAGATCTGGATGTTTGATGGTATTACAGATATCGTCGCAAGATGGAAGCAGTTCCTAATAAGGCTGCCTTTTGCAATTGACTAAAGAGCGAATTTGTCAATGCCAATGGTGTTCAAGTGGTGCTCCAATTGTTTTGGGATTGCACCCAAGGAGCCTATATTATTATTATTATCTTAGCTTGGCATACAAACAAGGCTATTGCATTATAGTAAGTAATTTCCAATGAATTGGCCACCAGTAGCAGGTACACATTTTTTTAAAGGAGGAAATGGAAGCTCAGCATCTCTCAACTTGATGTCTTCAAGGAATTACTCTAGCCTGGGGTGATAGGAGTTGTGCCAGCACTTATGGAGAATAACAGATTGGTGGAAGCCACTCAAAACAGCTGGAGGGACAAGAAGGAGAACCTACAGGACAGGGCTGTAAATCCAGATCTGGATCACATCAAAAAGGCTTCAAGTTCATCTTATCTTCTGAAGACTTCATGGATATGGACACTGACTTGTCCTTGTGGTTTTTTTTTTTTCCTGGGATGTTGGGACTCAGATTTCCTTGTGATCTATCCTTGCACTTAACTGGAATATCTCCTTAGGGTTTTTAAAAAGTATTCTTTATTTAACCGACCAAAATCTGATGCCACCTAGCTGGATTCATAAATTCCGTAGGAAGCTATAAATAAGCAAAAATAGAAGCAAAAGCCCCAAAGAGGGCCTGGGACTTGTTGTGTTTTCTGGAGGGGAAGGGGGAAAAAAAGCCAATTGAACTGAAAAAAACCGATCGGAGAACTGGAGATCCTACCTGATCAGACAGAGCCTTGTTGTATCTCATCAACGTGGCGAAGTGCTCACAGTTTGCAGTAACGAAATTGAATCTTAGGACTTTGTTTACCATATGCAGAGCTCTTTTCACCACATGAGTAGGATCCAAGGGAGGATATTTGTGATCAAATTTATTCCACACTGCACTTTTCACAGCTCCTAGGACATCCTTGATTTTTTCTCTGCGGACCTCATACGGAAATATGTCAGAAACTGAAAAAAGAGAAGTTGAGATGCTGGGCTTCAGAAATGATTTTGTTGACATCCTTGTAAGAGACCCAAGTGTGCAGGTATGTCTTGACTTACAGCCATTCATTTAGTTACAACAGCACTAGAAAAAGTGAATGATGACCATTTTTCATACAACCTTTGTGGCATCCCCACGGTCACATGATCAACATTCAGACACTTGGCAACTGACTCACACTTACGACCATTGCAATGTCCCAGGGTCATGTGATCCCCTTTTGCAATCAGTAGGGAAGCCAGATTCACTTAACAACCCTGTTACTAACTTAACAACTGTGGTGTTTCACTTAACAACTATGGCAAGAAAGGTCATAGAAACGGGGAAAACTCACATAACAACTTTCTGAGCAACAGAAACCTTGGGCTCAGTTGTTGTCGTAAGTTGAGGACTGCCTTTAATTGCAAACTACCTTTAGGAGCAGATCTCTTCCTACATAGAGGTATTGCAGTTGTCATTCGTCTTTTTTCTGACCAAAATTAGATAATTCTGCTCACGTAAACTTTTGTCAAGTGTCATATATGGCAAGTACTGATGAGTATCCTTTGTCTTATTACACTGAAAATTCAGCAATATGACATCCTCGGGTACACATCCCACAATACTGGTTTAAGTAACAAGTCCCAAATGCACAAGATCATCCAATGTCACATAACATTAATTGGTCCTTCTATGAAATCTCCTAAAATCCAGTCTGAGAAGGCTGGTCTCTCTTGAATTGTCCCAATCTCAGGAGATCTCACCATCTCTTGAGTATTTCAGGAGGTTTCATATTTCTTTCCAACATTGGGAGGGACCTCCAGCAGTTGAAAGCATTGACTTTTTTCAATCTACAAAATGGATGATCTTGCTGTTATGACCCAGGCCAGGGATAGGCAACCTTGGCTCTTTTATGACTCATGGACTTCAACTCCCAGAATTCCTGAGCCAGCCTGGCTCAGCTTGGAAACCTCTCCCTTTCCCCTCAGCATGGCTGGCTCAGGAATTCTGGGAATTGAAGTCCACCAGTCATAAAAGAGCCAAGGTTGCCTACCTTATGACTTTATGACTCGTGGACTTCAACTCCCAGAATTCCTCAGCCAGCATGGCTCAGCTTGGAAACTCTCCCTTTCCCCTCAGCATGGCTGGCTCAGGAATTCTGGGAATTGAAGTCCACGAGTCATAAAAGAGCCAAGGTTGCCTACCCCTGACCCGGGTCCTTCAGGTAAGGCAGGCCTCAGAGAGTCCTTTATTTCTCATAACAAATGTCCCAGCCAATGGCCCTCCAACGACTGGTAAGGCCCCATCCCCATGCTACCCTGAAGGCAGCCACCCTCAGTCCCCCAAATGACTGCCTGTATATTACAAAGAAGGTCCACAGAGTATGTACGCGCTCACAGGGCAAGGTCCCAAGTCCAGGCCAGCCAGCTAAGGGAGTCCATGAGGCAAACTGTAGTGTATAAGGCAAAGGCAGTTCTCAGGGCAAGGCAAGGCAGAAGGCAAAAGGCAGGAGTGAAAGCCAGGGGACTACACAGTAGTGGCCAAAATTGTGGAAACCTTGCTTGGCTTCGCTATCGAATGGATGCAGCCATTGGTGTCCCTTCAATCCATCATGGCGACGTGGACCGTGACTTAATGTGATGCTTGAATTCTGCAAGGTCTCTCTCTCCCATTTTCTTGGTTTTGGTTTAGCATTCCGGAAGTGGAGGGAGAAATTTTGCCAGGTTGTAGTTATAAATAAATCAATTCCCCACCCCCCGCCTCAAGTACAGCAGTGGCCAAAATTGTGGAAACCTTTTGGGAAAAGTGTCCAGTACAAATGCCACCTTTGGTTAAGTTTTCACCCATTTTTCTTCTAATTTCTTTATAACTGTAGCTTTGTTCACGTAACAATACTATTTTACATCGCTTTCTGGGCGACCAATCAACTCTTTGCACCATTGCTTTAATTTTATTTTGTTTTACAAGCTCACTAAATGAAAGAACACAAAAAAAACCCAACCGACTTGATAGCCATCACATAACACACTGACAAATATCCTCCTCTCAGCTTCAATACAGGACATCAATAACCAGATCCTACTATGATCTGATTGGCTCATTGCCAAAGCAAGATGACGCTTGATTGGCTCTCAAAAGGTTTCCGCAATTTTGGCCACTAGTGTAATCTAAGACAAACAATTGTTCCTGGCAAAGACTAGTCCCCCACCCTTCTCCTTAAGTTACTCCGCTCCAGATGTTCCTTGTGAGGGGGCGTGGGATGACCAAATAGCCTTGCAGCCCTTTCTCTGGACTTGCCTACACTCCACTCTCTATCATTTTTTCTCAGCTGAACCTAGCTTAGATGTGGTTTGTCAGGTGAGCCTACCATAAAGTCTCCCAGGTAGCTTTCCCCTTGAGTTCCCAGGGGGAAAATTAGGATATTTCTGTAGGAAATAGATCAGGGGTGTCAAACTGCCAGCCCGCAGGGCAGATGCATCATGCCAAAACTGCGCCCCCCCCCCATGGCCAGCAATTGGGGAAAAGTCGCGATACGTCACGACACGTCATGTGACGTTGCGAGTTTGACACCCCTGAAATAGATAATAAAATACTTTTCTCTTACATGAATATGCAAAATGCACAATTTCTCCATTGCCTATGTAGATACCCCAATGCTGGAAAGGCAAAACCATCTGGAATTGAATCATATCTCCTGGCTTTGGAGTGTCTCCCTTCTGGAAGATGTGTTCTATATCTTGCTTGATCCCGGCCTGTGTAGAAATACAGGGAAAGAGACTGAAATGGATTCCAATAAAGTATCAATAAAAGTTTCAATGGCAGGTAAATTAACCTGATTCTAATGATGTCTGCAAGAGATTGATTTGTAGTTCAAATTCTACATTATGCTAAGATATAACTTTGGTCTCGAATTCGTGTAGACAGAGATGTTGTAGATTAATCCCTAAACCATTCTTTCACAACCTCAGCATCTTTAAGATGGGTGGACTTCATCTCTCAGAATTCCCAGTTGGAATGCTGGCTGAGGGATTTAGGAAGTTGAAGCCCACCCTTTCTAATGGTGCTCACGTTGAGAAACAGTGCTGTAAACCACGATTCCCCAATACAAACTGATGTGAGAACACAATTGTGACATAGTTCGCCTATCCCAGACATGTCAAACACAAGGCCTGGGGGCCGGATGCGGCCCGCGAAGTGGTTTCATGTGGCCTGTGAAGCCATCCTGGAAACAGTGAGGGAATGGCCCCCTCTGCCGTGGCCCTGGCCCAGGCCAGCCCAGGAGCCAATGTACAATTTTGTGGTGGCCATCTAGGCTGAAAGGCATTCAGTCTTAGCTCCACAAGGCCATCTGGAAACAGCGAGGAATCAGCCCCTGCTGCGTCGGCCCCGCCCCCTGGGTGCATGCTGGGGAGGTGTCCCCCTTTGTGAGGAATGAAGAAATGCACCAACGCCTGGAAGTGGCCAGCAAATGGCCCTCGCCTACTTCACATATCCGGCCTGATGGGCTCCGGTGGAGGGGTTTCAGCAGGCAGTTAGGCTTCTCCAGCCTTGGCACTTGCCCTGGTCCACCCCCTTCTGCCAGAGACCCTCAGATCTGTCCCACTCCTGCCCAGGCCCCCACAGGCCCCCTTGACTCTAACGATGTAGAGCTGGCCACGCCCACTCAGTAGGCCACACCCACTCCATCCACACCCACCTAGTAGGCCGCACCCAGCCTGGCTACACCCACCCGGCCCCTCAAGGGCAACCGCAGTGCTGATGCGGCCCTCAATGAAATTGAGTTCGACACCCCTGGCCTATCCTATTGGCTGGACTTTAGGTATTGCACTAAGCCCTGATTCATTTTAACTTTAAATAAGCTTCAATTAGCACAGTTCACAGGACACTAAGTCACAAGTAGCAGTATGAAAAGGAAAGAGGGGAGGCCAAAACATCATGTTGTGCCAAAATAAATCAACAGTTGGCTTAGAATAATGTGTCGCCTAGGTCAGGGCTTTTCAACCAGTGGTACGGGTACCACCTGTGGTACATTAGCACCTGGCAGGTGGTACGCGACCATCCTAGAAAAGTGCTAGCGGGGGAGGGGAATGAGCTGAACCAGTGGCAGCACCGCACAAGCCTGAGCGAGAGATGGCTGGAGCTGCAGGACTGTCAGGGCTCAGTGGAAGCGCCAGGATCAGCGCCAGGCTCCGGCTGGAGCTCGGCACTGATCCTGGTGCTTCTGCTGAACCCTGAAGAAGCACCAATCAGCTGGAAAGCAGCACTGATCCTGACACTTCTGCTGAGCCCAGAAGAAGCGCCGATCAGCTGGAATGTTGCAGCATCTCCAGGGTCTTATGATTTACATTCAGATGCTTGGCAACTGATTCATATTTATGGCGGTCACAGTGTCCCAGGGTCATGTGAAGTGACCAAAACCTGCTGCAACCACCCAGCAGACGGGGGGAATAATAACCAAACACCCCCACCCCATCCCCGCTGCCAACCCTCAACAGAAATGCTCACAACAATGAAAACCTCGGACTGGAGGAAGAGCACCCCGGGTGGGCAGGCAGGTGTCTTGCTCGGCTGTGGCTTGGGGGGGCACGTTTTTCAGTGCCGTTGTAACTTCGAACAGTCACTAAGCGAACTGTTGTAAGTCGAGGACTACTTGTACTTTATCAAATTTTTGACACCTTGCTAGGTGACTGGTGGTACTCAGATTTTGCCATATCCTAAAAGTGGTACAATGGGTGAAAAGGTTGAAATGCCCTGGCCTAGGTTTTTAAGCTATGATATGGTTGGTTGGCTTGAATTTAGAATGAATCCTGGTTAAAGTGATCCATAAATTTACTGTATGGGTTAAGAGTGTTAGGCAAACTAAAGGTTTCATATTCAAGATTCTATTTATTAATGCTAAGACTTTATTAATCTTTGAAGAAGAATCACCATTGTTTTGCATTCCTTCATCCTCAAATTTAACCGTCACATTATGGTTCTCCCCATAGATGAATTCAGTGTTGAACAACATCCCCAAATCTTGAATGCAGCAACTGGGGGAAATGATTAAATGCATGGGAAGCAGTCATAAATTCTAAAATACATACAATTGGTTTAATATTAATTCCTTTTAGAGTTGTTCAGCAGATAGCAGCAACACCAGACTAACCTCTGCTTGATCATAGTAGCACATGGATGGGAGACCACCAGGAAAAGCCCAAAACTGTAAACTAGAATGAAACATCAAAAAAAAAAAAAAAAAAAAAGACCCTGGAAAAAGGTAATTGAAAATCTCTTCCATAAGTGTAGCCAAAAAAAAACCCTATGTGGAAAACTCCCCAAATCACCAGGAGCTGAGTTTATCCTATAGGAGAATTTACCTTTTCTTCTTTTTGGAATGTGAATTAAACCAGATCAATATTTTTTTTAACCTCTGGGTTACGGTAATGGGATCTCAGAACAATTGAAATCTCTCTCATACAAAGATCTCACTCACCAACACATTCCAAATGGATTCCATCTCCGGATTTCTTTAAAAAAAAAAATTCTTCTTCACAATTTTCACAATTCTTCTTCACAATTTTCTAGGCTTCTAAGATTCTGCCAGGAATTTCTGGTATTGTCTCTTGTTACGCACAAAGAAAACAACAGACAGACTCTTTAGTTGCTTTTACCACCGTTTTTACAACAACAATCACACAGAGCATCTCAAAAGATTGAAAACATCCCAACGTCCTAAAATGTAATAAATAGCCAGTTGGCTCTTCCTGGGATTTCCTTGACAGAGATTCTTATTCTGAAATGGGGCTCTAGAGGGCAGAGGAATTACATTTTATCATTCCACCTGCAAAGAGAGAAGCAATGGCTCAATCTTTGCTTCTTTCCAGGGATAAAAAAAAATCTAGTTACATCAGAGGGAGCTGGAAACACTCTCCTAAAACACACTCCTATAGAGCATTTTTTGGGGAAGGCATTCATCACAAGAAGTTCTCGGTTTGCATTCATTCAGTCCCTGTTCGAAGTTACAGGGACCCTTTAAAAAATGGATCTTTATGGACCAGTCCTCTTACTTATAACCCTCACTGCCTCCCCATGGTCACGTGATCAGAATTCAGACGCTTGGCAACTGACTCGCATTCACGACGGTTGCTGCATCCCCGTGGTCACGTGATCAAAATCCAGACGCTGGGCAACTGACTCGCGTTCGCGACGGTTGCAGCATTCTGGGCTCCCCCGATCACCATTTCCCATCTTCCCAGCCGACTTCCAACAAGCGACGTCAGTTGGGGAAGCCAGATTCATTTAATGACCCCCTTGGTTCACTAAACAAGTGTGTTGATTCGCTTGGCAACCAAGGCAAAAACAGTCATAAAATTGACACATTGAACCGCCCCGCTTAGCCATAGAAATTCTTTATGCACACTGCTCAACCACAAACTGCCAAATCAGCTGGTAGCTACAGTAGTTGTTTTGTTCTATTTCTAAAAAAAAAAAAAAAGAAAGAAATAGAAGAAAACAACAGAACAGGGAGGACCAGAGATCTCTTCAAGAAAATTGGAGATATGAAGGGAACGTTTCATGCAAAGATGGGCATGATAAAGGACCAAAATGGCAGAGACCTAACAGAGGCAGAAGAGATTAAGAAGAGAGGGCAAAACTACACAGAAGAACTATACAAGAATGAGCTTAACATCCCAGATAACCACAATGAGATGGTCACTGACCTCGAACCAGACATCCTAGAAAGTGAAGTGAAATGGGCCTTAGAAAATCTGAGCAACAACAAAGCTAGTGGAGGTGACAGTATTCCAGCTGAGCTATTCAAAATCTTAAAAGACAATGCAGTAAAAGTGCTACACTCAATTTGCCAGCAAATTGGAAAACTCAACAGTGGCCACAGGATTGGAAAAGGTCAGTTTACATTCCAATTCCAAAGAAAGGCAATGCCAAAGAATGTTCAAACTATCGCACCATTGCACTCATTTCACATGCTAGTAAAGTTATGCTTAAAATCCTACAAGCTAGACTCCAGCAGTATGTGGATCGAGAACTACCAGAAGTACAGGCAGGATTTCGAAGAGGCAGAGGAACTAGAGATCAAATTGCAAACATACGCTGGATCATGGAGAAAGCTAGGGAGTTCCAGAAAAACATCTACTTCTGCTTCATTGACTATGCTAAAGCCTTTGATTGTGTGGATCACAACAAATTGTGGCAAGTTCTTAAAGAGATGGAGTACCAGACCATCTCATTTGTCTCTTGAGAAACTTATATGCGGGTCAAGAAGCAACAGTGAGAACTGGACACGGAACCACTGATTGGTTCAAACTTGGAAAAGGAGTCCGGCAAGGCTGTATACTGTCGCCCTGCCTGTTTAACTTATATGCAGAGCACATCATGAGAAAGGCAGGGCTAGATGAATCAAATGTTGGAATTAAGATTGCCGGGAGAAATATCAACAACCTAAGATATGCAGATGATACCACTCTAATTGCAGAAAGTGAAGAGGAACTAAAGAGCCTCTTGATGCGGGTGAAGAAGGAGAGTGCAAAAGTTGGCTTGAAACTCAACATTAAGAAAACCAAAATCATGGCATCCGGCCCTCTCAATTTCTGGCAAATAGATGGGGAAGAAATGGAGGTAGTGACAGATTTTATTTTTCTGGGCTCAAAGATCACCTCAGATGGGGACTGCAGCCAAGAAATTAAAAGACGCTTGCTCCTGGGGAGGAAAGCTATGGCAAATCTAGACAGCATACTAAAAAGCAGAGACATCACCTGCCAACAAAAGTGCGTATAGTCAAGGCCATGGTTTTCCCAGTTGCAATGTATGGCTGTGAAAGCTGGACCATAAGAAAGGCTGAGCACAAAAGAATTGAGGCCTTTGAACTATGGTGCTGGAGAAGAGTCCTGCGAGTCCCTTGGACTGCAAGGCGTTCAAACCGGTCAGTCCTAGAAGAGATCAACCCCGACTGCTCTTTAGAAGGCCAGATCCTGAAGTTGAAACTCAAGTACTTTGGCCACCTAATGAGAAGGAAGGACTCACTAGAGAAGGGCCTAATGCTGGGAAAGATGGAGGGCAAGAGAAGAAGGGGACGACAGAGAATGAGATGGCTGGATGAAGTCACTGAAGCAGTAGGTGTGAATTTGAATGGACTCCAGAAGATGGTAGAGGACATGAAGTCCTGGAGGAACGTTGTCCATGGGGTCGCGATGGGTCGGACACGACTTCGCAAGTAACAACACAGTAGTTGTATGATTGCCCAGAGCTATTCTTTCTGTTCTAATAGATTTAATACAATACAATACAATACAATACAATACAATAACAGAGTTAGAAGGGACCTTGGAGGTCTTCTAGTCCAACCCCCTGCTCAGGCAGGAAACCCTATACCATTTCAAACAAATGGCTGCCCAGTCTCTTCTTAAAAACTTCCAATGTTGGAGCACCCTGCAAATTCTAGAGCAGTAGTTCTCAACCTTTCTAATGCCGCTACCCCCAACCGGTCATAAGTCAAGGACTACTCATCCGGTCGTAAATCGGGGACTACTCAACTGGTGCAGCACCGTTTGCAGACTGGGGCTTTTGGCGGGCTCAGCAGGGCAGAGACAGCCTGGACAATTCCTATTGGCTTTTGAAAGCCAATAGAATTAGACTCTATTCAAGAGAGTCTATTCTATTGGCTTTCAAAAGCCAATAGAATAAAAGAGAGTAGCACAGCTAAGGAAAAGGGGGAAAAAAATGGCGGACTGCGTTGTTTGGCGATCCCCGTGAAATGGTCGTTCGACCCCAAATGGGGTCCCGACCCACAGGTTGAGATCCACTGGCCTAGAGGCAAGTTCCACTGTTTAATTGTTCTCACTGTCAGGACATTCCTCTTTAGTTCCAAGTTGGTTCTCCTTCTTGATTAGTTTCCATCCGTTGCTTCTTGTCCTGCTTGCAGGTGCTTTGGAGAATAGCTTGACTCCCTCTTGTTTCTGATATAACAATAATAATAATAATAATGTTGGAAGGGACCTTGGCGGTCATCTAGTCCAACCCCTGCTCAGGCAGGAAACCCTATACCAGTGGTGGTGAACCTATGGCACATGACCGGCCGTACTCAGCATGTGGTTTTCAATGGAACTGCATCTATATGGAGGGAAGTGTGTAGTGGGGTGCCCCAGGGCTCTGTTCTGGACCCAGTGCTCTTCAACATCTTCATCAATGATTTGGACGAAGGGATAGATGGGGAACTCATCAAATTTGCAGACGACACCAAGCTGGCAGGAATAGCCAACACTCCAGAAGACAGGCTTAAGATACAGAAGGATCTGGACAGACTTGAACACTGGGCACTAACTAACAAAATGAAATTCAATGGTGAAAAAAGCAAGGTTCTACATTTAGGCAAGAAAAACCAAATGCACAAGTACAGCATAGGTGGCACCATGCTCAATAGTAGTAACTGTGAGAGGGACCTCGGAGTCCTAGTAGACAATCACCTAAATATGAGCCAGCAGTGTGCTGCAGCTGCCAAAAAGGCCAACACAGTGCTAGGCTGCATTAACAGAGGGATAGAATCAAGATCACGTGAAGTATTAATGCCACTCTACAATGCCTTGGTAAGGCCACACTTGGAATACTGCATCCAGTTTTGGTCACCACGATGTAAAAAAGATGTTGAGACTCTAGAAAGAGTACAGAGAAGAGCAACAAAGATGATTAGGGGACTGGAGGCTAAAACATATAAGGAACGGTTGCTAGAATTGGGTATGTCTAGTTTAACGAAGAGAAGGACAAGGGGGGACATGATAGCAGTATTCCAATATCTCAGGGGCTGCCATAAAGAAGAGGGAATCAAGCTATTTTCCAAAGCACCTGAAGGCAGGACAAGAAGCAACGGGTGGAAACTAATCAAGGAGAGAAGCAACCTAGAACTAAGGAGAAACTTCCTGACAGTGAGAACAATTAATCAGTGGAACAGCCTGCCTCCAGAAGCAGTAAATGCTCCAACACTGGAAGTTTTTAAGAAGAGACTGGACAGCCATTTGTCCGAAATGGTGTAGGGTTTCCTGCCTGAGCAGGGGGTTGGACTAGATGATCTCCAAGGTCCCTTCCAACTTTACTACTACTACTACTACTACTACTACTACTACTACTACTACTATTATTATTATTATTATTATTATTATTATTATTATTATTATATTATTGCCCTCTCTGCCATTATAAGATCTTTTACCTCTTTAATATCCAAAGCATTCATTTTTAAAGCATCTTGTAAGTCTTTAAGAGAAATTGCAGGAGGAGGGGAGGGTGGGGGTGACTTTGGTTTAGACTGAGAAGCAGGTTGAGTCATTGGGGAAGAGATAGAAGCTTTAGGGACTGAGACAAAACGTTTTGAAGCCATTCTTTTAAATTCAAAGGAGCAAAAAATTCTTGCCTCAATAATATCACAGTTCTTTAAATAATAGTAATAATAATAAAGAAAAAGGAGGGGAGAAAGAACAAGATTCCTGCCTCTATATTTAAAACATGAACTATATCCCACTTTTAACTTTGTTGCAAAATCAAACAAGAAAGACCATCGCCATTTTGCCTTTCACTTTCCCTTTCTTCAAAAGGGAAAGTAAACAATAAAAAGGGGAGAAGATACTTGCAGGAGTTAAAGTCACAATCAATCTTAAATCCACTTTCTCCTGGTCTGCTTTGTCTGCTTTTAAATACTCACAAAACCACCGAAAAAAGCAGATGTGGGAGCGGCGTCTTGCTTCGTCCCAGAACTTCGGGACAAAGACGTCCTGGAGCGCGAAGATGGCTCAGGCTCCGAGGGAGCTCTACACTCCGATCCCCAAAATATAGGGATCCAGGGGAGCTCTTCCTCTACCTGAACGGCTCTTCTCTTCCCTTTCTCCCAGGGAAGAGATTCAAGCCACAGGACAGCTGATTGTCAAAGTACCGCCGGCTTTTACGTAATCCGCAAACGGGCAGCTTCTTAAAAAGCCGCCATCGTCGCTGCTTGATCCACCGGAAGTCTCCACATTTTCTCTTCTTTTGAATTATCTAAACGTGTGATGTTACAAAGTATTACATCATCAAAAAAGTATGACGGGATAACTGTTTCCTTTTTCCCTCTTTGAAGAAGACGCCCAGGGCAGTTTTAAAGTAGTCACCCCAAAGTCCTGTTCCCTCCACTTTTGAACCCCTAGGCTGCCAACTTGTACCGCTTGGAGGAGGAGAACCACGAGGCTGCCGCCCGCCTCGAAGAAGTGGTTTATCGCGGAGACTTGCTGTTGGAGAAAATACAGAGCGCCTTAGCCGACATTGCCCAGTCCCAATTAAAGACTCGAAGTGGCAGCTGTTGCCAACCCCTCCCGGAGTAATTGGGGCATGCGGCAAAGCTCGGCCGTGACACCTGCTTTGCAGGTACGATTGGTGCAAAAGGAAGAGAACGAGCAACAAACACAACTCTCCTTCACACCTTAATGCCCTGAACTATTTATGAGACTCTGCTTACCGGTTGCAACACTAGCCATACTTTTTCCGTGATACTCTGCCAGTTCCAGAAGATTTCCAGGAACTTCAGTTCCATGTATTTGTTACATCCAAGCCTTACACTTTGATCGGCTTTATCAGTGGGCTGGAGCACGTGGCCTCATGGTAAAGCTTCTCCTTGTGTCTACATGCCAACAATGATGCAATACTTTATAGTAAATTTACAAGGGGTAGAGAGGTGTTTGGATGCTTGTTTCTCACTGAGGATACCTGAATATTATTCGGAAGTTCTGTAGAAGGGGGGGAAAGCATTCTGGGAAACATTAAAGCAGTGTCAATTTGTATACAATTTCACTTAGAAATGTAATTATTAGGTATAGCGAATACTTGTACGGTCTGCTTTGGAACTAGAATGAAAAGGTTCTGGAGAAACAGGAGTTCTCTTGCCTTTTCCACACAGCACGTAACTGGCTAAATTTGATGACAACAGAAGCTGAAATACTGAACTAACCAACTACTATTAAAAGGACTGTCTTTGTAGTACTGGGTTGACGTGAATAAAGATTTGGTGTTGCATTGAGTAATTTTTTTTTTTTTAAGTTCAGTTTAATACATTAAATGTGCCTGCATGCATGAGGGTATTTCAGTTAAATGTCTTCTCGGCCATCCAGATCATATTTAACTCAAAGATGCTTTTTCACAAGGTAACCTGTCATGGTTCCGACAGATGAAACTCTTCAAAGAAATTTGAGGCATTGTTTACCTTAAAGAATCTTTGAGAAGCATAGCATCTGCACTAACATAATCGAAGCCAAAAACTGAGTTCCCCTCCCCTGAGCACTTAGTATCAAACCACAATTCCCTCCTCCCATTAACCATCATAAATCACATTCTCCAATTAGTTTGAAATGCGGGCTTCCCCTCCAGCTCTCTAGCCCCTCAATTCTTTATCATCTCTTATTTCAATAACCTTGGTTCTCACACTAGTTTCAGTATTGTTATGTCTAGCTAGACTCTCATGCACATTCCTCCCCCCTCCCGGCATTATCTAACTCAGTGATTCTCAACCTGTGGGTCGGGACCCCATTTGGGGTCGAATGACCATTTCACAGGGGTCGCCAAACAACGCAGTCCGCCATTTCCCCCCCCCTTTTCCTTAGCTGTGCTATTCCCTTTTATTCTATTGTAGACTCTCTTGAATAGAGTCTAATTCTATTGGCTTTCCAAAGCCAATAGGAATTGTCCAGGCTGTCTCTGCCCTGCTGAGCCTGCCAAAAGTTCCATTCTGCAAACGGTGCTGCACCAGTTGAGTAGTCCTCGACTTATGACCGGTTGAGTAGTCCTCGACTTACGACCGGTTGGGGATCATGGCATTAAAAAGGTTGAGAACCACTGATCTAACTCTAAAAGCAAAAAGAAGAAAATGATTGCATCGCTATCTGTGGTCAATGCAAAACCATCCAATGTTAGCAGCATTGACATCTGGGCTTTCTTATTTTTTACGTCTTCAAAGAAAAAACAGAGTCCAGTTGCCTTGTGAAAAAGCATCTTTGGGGTATTTCAGTTAAATTTGGGGTTGCTGTATAGAAATCAGATCTGGTCTCGGATGTGTCTTATTTTTTATTTCTTGGATTTATAAAAAAAAAACAGATGAAAGGGTGTGTGTTAAAATCAGATGAATGGGTTTGAAGGATTTGCTTTCTGATCAGCTGCTTAAAGAAACCACAATGAAAATAGTACAAAGTCAGACAAAAGGGGCGAAAAAAAGCAGCCCTTTAAAGTTCTGGGATTAATCTCTTCACCCAAAATATTGAAGAACAAGCTAGCTGATGACATTTTTGTCTATATGTTCTATTATCGAGCCACATCATTAAGTGTATGATTCCGTGTGTTTTATGAATTCAGGAGAATCAGGCTGACCATGCAAGAGTTAAATTAACACAAGAAGAAGCTTCTTGGATGAGAAGCAAAATGTTTTCAAAAAAGAAAACCGAGAAAGTCCAGTTGCCTTTTGGAAAAGCACCTTTGGGTGCTGAAATCAAGCCTAACTCTTGGTGATTTTAGGGTATATAGATTATTTTCTTGAAAACAAGCCAAAGGTGGTTTAATATTGTTTCTTCCAAAAATTACTAGTGGGCTTCTATCCAAGTCCTAGGCAGATCTGACTCTTTTTAACGTTTTAAGATTAGCTGCTACATCAGTGGTTCTCAACCTGTGGGTCGGGACCCCATTTGGGGTCGAATGACCATTTCACGGGGGTCGCCAAACCACGCTGTCCGCCATTTTTTTCCCTTTTCCCTAGCTTTCCTACTCCCTCTTATTGGTGGCCACACCCACTTGGGGGTCACCACAACATGGGGAACTGTATTATGGGGTCACGGCATTAGAAAGGTTGAGAACCACTGTGCTACATCTTAACTACCGTAGCAATCCAAGTGTCACGGTTCCGACAGATGAAACTCTTCAAAAGAGTTACCTTAAAAAAATCTTTATTTGAGTAGCATAGCATCGGCATTAACACAATCGAAGCCAAAAACTGAGTTCCCCTCCCCTGAGCACATAGTATCAAACCACAATTCCCTCCTCCAGTTGACAGTCATAAATCACATTCCCCAATTAGTTTGAAATGTAGGCTTCCCCTCCAGCTCTCCAACCTGCCAATTCTTTATCGTCTCTTATTTCAATAACCTTGGTTCTCACACTAGGTTCAGTGTTATTATGTCTAACTAGACTCTCATGCACATTCCTCCCCTCCCCAGCATCATCTAACTCTAAAAGCAAAAAGAAGAAAGTGGCTGCATCTCCATCTGTTGTCAATGCAAAAACATCTGATGTCAGCAGCTGACACCAAGCTGTGTACAGCAGTGGTTCTCAACCTTTTTAATGCCGCGACCCCCCAACCGGTCGTACGTCGAGGACTACTCAACCGGTCGTAAGTCAAGGACTACTCAACTGGTGCAGCACCGTTTGCAGAATGGGTCTTTTGGCGGGCTCAGCAGGGCAGAGACAGCCTGGACAATTCCTATTGGCTTTTGAAAGCCAATCGAATTAGACTCTATTCAAGAGAGTCTATTCTATTGGCTTTCAGAAGCCAATAGAATAAAAGGGAGTAGCACAGCTAAGGAAAAGGGGGGGGAAATGGCGGACTGCGTTGTTTGGCGACCCCCGTGAAATGGTCGTTCGACCCCAAATGGGGTCCCGACCCACAGGTTGAGAACCACTGGTGTACATGTTTGAGAAACACCGATTGAAACAAAGCCAAGTCCCAAATTCCTCCCTAATTTTGTCCAGGTTGAAAGCACAAGATACACTTTTGACGGAGGCTGATTTTGAAAACCATTATAGAAAAAAGATTTGATCCACATCAGTGAGGCTCAAGGAATCTTTCTCTGGAAGGTTGAAAGACATTCTCCACTTCCACAATCAACCTCAGCTAGGCGTCTTCTGATCTCCTGCTCGAAATCCTGATCTACAGTAAAATTAAATCTTTCTGCCTGTAAAAGAAAAAAGAGAGAGAAATTTGTCAGACATTGGCTAGGTTCGGTCAAAATATTTAGTTCTAAACATTCAGTGGGAATCATTTTTAAGGAACACCCCTCCCCCAATCCTAGTTAACAACCATTTTGGTTGTATTGACTTGCTGTCCATACTATTTAAAAAAAAATACTTTTTAAAAAGAGAGCTAACAAGAGCCTAAGCTTCCTCCGGTACTTTTTGTGTGCTGTTTCAACTCTCTTGAGAGCTTAAAAAAGTAGTCAGAAAAATCAAATCAGGCAAGATTTGAAACAAGTGCCCACTTGGGTTTCAGCCCGAGAGGTCATCAGAGTGTCGCAACCCTGATTTAATTTAGCAGAGGCAAATTTTGCCTTGGTGTTGTGTGTGAACGGAATGCCTGTGACTGAAACAGCTTCCCTTTTGTCACTGTTGATGGGACATTTCCAGTCTTTAAATCTGGACTCTGATAATGAGAAGCAACAAAAGACAAGGTTACGGTTAAGTCAACTTTTCCCAAAACGTGGTTACAAACTGCATCAAACACGTGCGGTATTAATACCACTTTACAATGCCTTGGTAAGGCCACACTTGGAATACTGTATCCAGTTTTGGTCACCACGATGCAAAAAAGATGTTGAGATTCTAGAAAGAGTACAGAGAAGAGCAACAAAGATGATTAGGGGACTGGAGGCTAAAACATATAAGGAATGGTTGCTGGAATTGGGAATGTCTAGTTTAACGAAGAAAAGGACGAGGGGGGACATGATAGCAGTGTTCCAATATCTCAGGGGCTGCCACAAAGAAGAGGAAATCAAGCTATTTTCCAAAGCGCCTGAAGGCAGGACAAGAAGCAACAGGTGGAAACTAATCAAGGAGAGAAGCAACCTAGAACTAAGGAGAAACTTCCTGACAGTTAGAACAATTAACCAGTGGAACAACCTGCCTCCAGAAGCGGTGAATGTTCCAACACTGGAAGTTTTTGAGAAGAGACTGGACAGCCATTTGTCTGAAATGGTATAAGGCAGTGGTTCACCAAACAACGCAGTCCGCCATTTTTTTCCCCTTTTCCTTAGCTGTGCTACTCCCTTCTATTCTATTGGCTTTTGAAAGCCAATAGAATAGACTCTCTTGAATAGAGTCTAATTCTATTGGCTTTCAAAAGCCAATAGGAATCGTCCAGACTGTTTCTGCCCTGCTGAGCCCGCCAAAAGTCCCATTCTGCAAATGGTGCTGCAAGTTGTCTGCTGCGAAGGCAAGCTGTCTGGAAGTTTCCACCCCTCCCTGCTGAGCAACTACTAAAAATGTAAGTAAAAGAGGGCCAGGGGTAGGAGGTGGGAGGCTGGCGAGCACAGGGAGGGTTGCTGGCGCGCGTGGGGCCCGGCGGGTGCCTTACGTCCCTTGGGCTGGGCCAGCTGGTGGCCCAGCCGGTGGTCACCCTGCGCCGTTGCTGCCCCTTGCCAGCTATGCCTCGGCCAGCGCAGGGGGGGGCACCACACATGCGCGGCACTCCCGGGCAGGGAAAGTCCTCGACTTACGATTGGTTGGGTAGTCCTCGACTTACAACCAGTTGGGTAGTCCTTGACTTACGACTGGTTGGGGGTCGCGGCATTAAAAAGGTTGAGAACCACTGATATAGGGTTTCCTGTCTGAGCAGGGGGTTGGACTGGATGACCTCCAAGGTCCCTTCCAACTTTACTATTATTATTATTACTATTACTACTACTACTATTATTATTATTATTATTATTATCATCATCATCTTAGCTTGGCATACAAACAAGGCTATTGCTTTATAGTAAGTAATTTCCAATGAATTGGCCACCAGTAGCAGGTACACATTTTTTTAAAGGAGGAAATGGAAGCTCAGCATCTCTCAACTTGATGTCTTCAAGGAATTACTCTAGCCTGGGGTGATAGGAGTTGTGCCAGCACTTATGCAGAATAACACATTGGTGGAAGCCACTCAAAACAGCTGGAGGGACAAGAAGGAGAACTTACAGGACAGGGGCTGTAAATCCAGATATGGATCACATCAAAAAGGCTTCAAGTTCATCTTATCTTCTGAAGACTTCATGGATATGGACACTGACTTGTCCTTGTGTGTGTGTGTGTGTGTGTGTGTGTGTGTGTGTGTTTTCTGGGATGTTGAGACTCAGATTTCCTTGTGATCTATCCTTGCCCTTACTGGAATATCTCCTTAGGGTTTTTAAAAAGTATTCTTTATTTAATCGACCAAAATCTGATGCCATCTAGCTGGATACATGAATTCCGTAGGAAGCTATAAATAAGCAAAAATAGAAGCAAAAGCCCCAAAGAGGGCCTGGGACTTGTTGTGTTTTCTGGAGGGGAAGGGGGGAAAAAAGCCAATCGAACTGAAAAAAACCGATCGGAGAACTGGAAATCCTACCTGATCAGACAGAGCCTTGTCGTATCTCATCAACGTGGCGAAGTGCTCACAGTTTGCAGTAACGAAGTTGAAGTTTAGGACTTCGTTTACCATATGCAGAGCTCTTTTCACCACACGAGTAGGATCCAAGGGAGGATATTTGTGATCGAATTTGTTCCACACTACACTTTTCACAGCTCCTACGACATCCTTGATTTTTTCTCTGCGGACCATATACGGAAATGCGCCAGAAACTGAAAAAAGAGAAGTTGAGATGCTGGGCTTCAGAAATGATTTTGTTGACATCCTTGTAAAAGACCCAAGTGTGCAGGTACGCCTTGACTTACTGCCATTCATTTAGTTACAAAGGCACTGGAAAAAGTGAATGATGACCATTTTTCATACAACCTTTGTGGCATCCCCACAGTCACATGATCAAAATTCAGAAGCTTGGCAACTGACTCACGCTTATGACCGTTGCAGTGTGCCAGGGTCGCGTGATCCCCTTTTGCAATCAGTGGGGAAGCCAGATTCACTTAACAACCCTGTTACTAACTTAACAACTGTGGTGTTTCACTTAACAACTATGGCAAGAAAGGTCATAGAAACGGGTAAAACTCACATAACAACTTTCTCAGCAACAGAAACCTTGGGCTCAGTTGTTGTCGTAAGTCGAGGACTGCCTTTAATTGCAAACTACCTTAGGAACAGATCTCTTCCTACACAGAGGTAGTTGTCATTCGTCTTTTTTCTGACCAAAATTAGATAATTCTGCTCACGTAAACTTTTGTCAAGTATCATATATGGCAAGTACTGATGAGTATATCCTTTGTCTTATTACACTGAAAACTCAGCTTGGCAATATGACATCCTCGGGTACACATCCCACAATATTGGTTTAAGTAACAAGTCCCAAATGCACAAGATCATCCAATGTCACATAACATGAATTGGTCCTTCTATGACAGTGGTTCTCAACCTGTGGGTCGGGACCCCATTTGGGGTCGAACGACCATTTCACGGGGGTCGCCAAACAACGCAGTCCGCCATTTTTTCCCCCTTTTCCTTAGCTGTGCTACTCCCTTTTATTCTATTGGCTTTTGAAAGCCAATAGAATAGACTCTCTTGAATAGAGTCTAATTCTATTGGCTTTCAAAAGCCAATAGGAATTGTCCAGGCTGTCTCTGCCCTGCTGAGCCTGCCAAAAGTCCCATTCTGCAAACGGTGCTGCACCAGTTGAGAAGTCCTCGACTTACGACCGGTTGAGTAGTCCTCGACTTAACGACCGGTTGGGGGTCGCGGCATTAAAAAGATTGAGAACCACTGTTCTATGAAATCTCCTAAAATCCAGTCTGAGAAGGCTGGTCTCTCCTGAATTGCCGCAATCTCAGGAGATCTCACCATCTCTGAGTATTTCAGGAGGTTTCATATTTCTTTCCAACTTTGGGAGGGACCTCCAGCAGTTGAAAGCATTGACTTTTTTCAATCTACAAAATGGATGATCTTGCTGTTATGACCCAGGTCAGGAGTAGGCAACCTGGGCTCTTTTATGACTCGTAGACTTCAACTCCCAGAATTCCTCAGCCAGCCATGCTGAGGGGAAAGGGAGAGGTTTTCAAGCTGAACCATGCTGGCTCAGGAATTCTGGGAGTTGAAGTCCACGAGTCATAAAGCGGCCTAGGCCTAGGCCAGAGGTAGGCAACCTTGGTTCTTCTATGACTCGTGGACTTCAACTCCCAGAATTCCTCAGCCAGCCATGCTGAGGGGAAAGGGAGAGGTTTCCAAGCTGACCATGCTGGCTCAGGAATTCTGGGAGTTGAAGTCCATGAATCAAAAAAGAGCCAAGATTGCCTATCTCTGGCCTAGGCCTAGGCCACTTTATGACTCGTGGACTTCAACTCCCAGAATTCCTGAGCCAGCATGGCTCAGCTTGAAAACCTCTCCCTTTCCCCTCAGCATGGCTGGCTCAGGAATTCTGGGAGTTGAAGTCCACGAGTCATAAAAGAGCCAAGGTTGCCTACCCCTGACCCGGGTCATTAAGGTAAGGCAGGCCTCAGAGAGTCCTTTATTTCTCATAACAAATGTCCCAGCCAATGGCCTCCAATGACTGGTAAGGCCCCATCCCCATGCTACCCTGAAGGCAGCCACCCTCAGTCCCCCAAATGACTGCGTATATTACAAACAAGGTCCTGTATTGTACGTGCACGCTCACAGGGCAAGGTCCCAAGTCCAGGCCAGCCAGCTAAGGGAGTCCATGAGGCAAACTATAAGGCAAAGGCAGTTCTCAGGGCAAGGCAAGGCAGAAGGCAAAAGGCAGGAGTGAAAGCCAGGGGACTACACAGTAGTGGCCAGAATTGTGGAAACCTTGCTTGGTTTCGCTGTCGAATGGATGCAGCCATTGGCGTCCCTTCAATCCATCACGGCGATGTGGACCGTTACTTAATGTGATGCTTGAATCCTGCAAGGTCTCTCTCTCTCTCCCGTTTTCTTGGTTTTGGTTTAGCGTCCCGGAAGTGGAGGGAGAAATTTTGCCAGGTTGTAGTTATAAATAAATCAATCCCTTCTTTCCCCACCCCACCCCCCGCCTCAAGTACAGCAGTGGCCAAAATTGTGGAAATCTTTTGGGAAAAGTGTCCAGTACAAATGCCACCTTTGGTTAAGTTTCCACCCATTTTTCTTCTCATTTCTTTATAACTGTAGCCTTGTTCACTTAACAATACTATTTTACATTGCTTTCTGGGTGACCAGTCAACTCTGTGCACCATGGCTTTAATTTTATTACGTTTTACAAGCTCACTCAATGAAAGAACACAAAAAAACCCAACCGACTTGATAGCCATCACATAACACCCTGACAAATGTCCTCCTCTCAGCTTCAATACAGGACATCAATAACCAGATCCTACTGTGATCTGATTGGCTCATTGCCAAAGCAAGATGACGCCTGATTGGCTCTCTAAACACTCGTGCTCATTGGCTACAATCAGATGAAGGAAAGCTACCAGATATCAGCCTAAGCAAGTTGTGCTTCCTTTTTCTGGTTATTTGGCTATAACGTTTCATAGAATACAGTACAGATAATTGAACCAACTTCGTTGCATTACATTCTTGATTAAATGATCTTTCCAGTGATATATAATTTTATGGTACTACTCAAAACAAAAGTGATGTTATTAGCCATCAAACCTCAAAAATACACTTTTCCCAAAAGGTTTCCGCAATTTTGGCCACTAGTGTAATCTAAGACAAACAATTGTTCCTGGCAAAGACTAGTCCCCCACCCTTCTCCTTAAGTTACTTTCCTCCAGATGTTCCTTGTGAGGAGGCGTGGGATGACCAAATAGCCTTGCAGCCCTTTCTCTGGACTTGCCTACACTCCACTCTCCATCATTTTTTCTCAGCTGAACCTACCTTTCTCAGGTGCGCCTACCATAAAGTCTCCCAGGTAGCTTTCCCCTTGAGTTCCCAGGGGGAAAAGTAGGACATTTCTGTAGATCAGGGGTGTCAAACTGCCAGCCCACAGGCCGTATGCGTCATGCTGAAACTGCGCCCACCCAATGGCCAGCAATGGGGGGAAAATCGCGATACGTCACGTCACGACACGTCACGTGACGTTGCGAGTTTGACACCCCTGAAATAGATAATAAAATACTTTTCTCTTACATGAAAATCCGAAATGCACAATTTCTCCATTGCCTATGTAGATACCCCAATGCTGGAAAGGCAAAACCATCTGGAACTGAATCATATCTCCCGGCTTTGGAGTGTCTCCCTTCTGGAAGATGTGTTCTATATCTTGTTTGATCCCGGCCTGTGTAGAAATACAGGGGAAGAGACTGAAATGGATTCCAATAAAGTATCAATAAAAGTTTCAATGGCGGGTAAATTAACCTGATTCTAATGATGTCTGCAAGATATTGATTTGTAGTTCAAATTCTACATTATGCTAAGATATAACTTTGGTCTCGAATTCGTGTAGACAGAGATGTTGTAGATTAATCCCTAAACCATTCTTTCTCAACCTCAGTCCTTTAAGATGGGTGGACTTCATCTCTCAGAATTCCCAGTTGGAATGCTGGCTGAGGGATTTTGGGAGTTGAAGTCCACCCATTGTAACGGTGCTCAGGTTGAGAAACAGTGCTGTAAAGCACGATTCCCCAATACAAATTGATGCGGGAACACAATCTGTGACATAGTTCGCCTATCCTATTGGCTGGGCTTTAGGTATTGCACTAAGATCTGATTCATTTTAACCTTAAATAAGCTTCAATTAGCACAGTTCACAGGACACTAAGTCACAAATCGCAGTATGAAAAGCAAAGAGGGGAAGCCAAAACATCATGTTGTGCCAAAATAAATCACCTGTTGGCTTAGAACAGTGGTTCTCAATCTTTCTAATGCCGCGACCCCATAATACAGTTCCCCATGTTGTGGTGACCCCCAACCACTTATACATCACCGGGTGCCAGGGACGTGGACAAAGAAAAGGGGGGAAAAATGGCGGACAGCCTTGTTTAGCGACCCCTGTGAAATGGTCGTTCGACCCCAAATGGGGTCCCGACCCACAGGTTGAGAACCACTGGCTTAGAATAATGTGTCGCCTAAGTTTTTAAGCTATGATATGGTTGGTTGGCTTGAATTTAGAATGAATCCTGGTTAAAGTGATCCATAAATTTACTGTATGGGTTAAGAGTGTTAGGCAAACTAAAGGTTTCATATTCAAGATTCTATTTATTAATGCTAAGACTTTATTTGAAGGAGAATCACCGTTGTTTTGCATTCCTTCATCCTCAAATTTAACCGTCACATTGTGGTTCTCCCCCATAGATGAATTCAGTGTTGAACAACGCCCCCAAATCTTGAATGCAGCAACTGGGGGAAATGATTAAATGCATGGGAAGCAGTCATAAATTCTAAAATACATGCAATTGGTTTAATATTAATTCCTTTTAGAGTTGTTCAGCAGATAGCAGCAACACCAGACTAACCTCTGCTTGATCATAGTAGCACATGGATGGGAGACCACCAGGACAAGCCCCAAACTGTAAACTAGAATGAAACATCAAAAAAAAAAAAAGACCCTGGAAAAAGGTAATTGAAAATCTCTTCCATAAGTGCAGCCCCCAAAAAAACCCTATGTGGAAAACTCCCCAAATCACCAGGAGCTGAGTTTATCCTATAGGAGAATTTACCTTTTCTTCTTTTTGGAATGTGAATTAAACCAGATCAATATTTTTTTTAACCTCTGGGTTACGGTAATGGGATCTCAGAAAAATTGAAATCTCTCTCATACAAAGATCTCACTCACCAACACATTCCAAATGGATTCCATCTCCGGATTTCTTTAAAAAAAAAAATTCTTCTTCACAATTTTCTGGGCTTCTAAGTTTCTGCCAGGAATTTCTGGTATTCTCTCTAATTACGCACAAAGAAAACAACAGACAGACTCTTTAGTTGCTTTTACCACCATTTTTACAACAACAATCACACAGAGCATCTCAAAAGATTGAAAACATCCCAACGTCCTAAAATGTAATAAATAGCCAGTTGGCTCTTCCTGGGATTTCCTTGACAGAGATTCTTATTCTGAAATGGGGCTCTAGAGGGCAGAGGAATTACATTTTATCATTCCACCTGCAAAGAGAGAAGCAATGGCTCAATCTTTGCTTCTTTCCAGGGATAAAAAAAAATCTAGTTACATCAGAGGGAGCTGGAAACACTCTCCTAAAACACACTCCTATAGAGCATTTTTTGGGGAAGGCATTCATCACAAGAAGTTCTCGGTTTGCATTCATTCAGTCCCTGTTCGAAGTTACAGGGACCCTTTAAAAAATGGATCTTTATGGACCAGTCCTCTTACTTATAACCCTCACTGCCTCCCCATGGTCACGTGATCAGAATTCAGACGCTTGGCAACTGTCTTGTACTTATGACAGCTTGCCATGTCCCAGGGTCACGTGATCCCCTTTTGCGACCTTCTGACAAAGCAAAGTCAACGGGGGAAGCCAGATTCACTTAACAACCGGCTCACTAACTTAGCAACTGTGGTGATTCGCAGCAAGAAAAGTCATAAAATGGGGCAAAACTCACTTCGTGATTTGGGGCTCGGTTGTGGTCATAAGTTGAGGGCTGCCCCTACACAACAATTTGGGAATCTCAGCTTTGAAGACTGGGAAACCGATCATCTTATTTCAAACCATCTGCTTTCTGCAATGTGATTGCCAAGCCAAATTGGGCTTCAGTTTTTGTTTCTCTTTTTAGAAGGAAGGGAAAATGAGATAAAAGGCCAACAGGAGTTGACTTGCAGGGGCAAGGAGGCCTAGATAACATCTGGCACATAGGTAAAAGACTGTTAGCAATCTGCTCTGTATTTGCCAAGCTTATCTTCAGCAAGCAGCCTTTACGGAATCAGGATTTATGTTGTTTGACTATTTCTTCACCAAATAAGATCTGAGCAAAGTTAACAGTGGGCGTGCTAGGACATTGGATAGTCTGCTTGAAAGAAGGATTTCTTCAGCTCAGTTGCTCTTAACAGGAATTAGAGCAGTGGTTCTCAACCTTTTTAATGCCACGACCCCCAACCGGTCGTAAGTCGAGGACTACTCAACCGGTCGTAAGTCGAGGACTACTCAACTGGTGCAGCACCGTTTGCAGAATGGGACTTTTGGCGGGCTCAGCAGGGCAGAGACAGCCTGGACAATTGCTATTGGCTTTTGAAAGCCAATAGAATTAGACTCTATTCAAGAGAGTGTATTCTATTGGCTTTTAAAAGCCAATAGAATAAAAGGGAGTAGCACAGCTAAGGAAAAGGGGGAAAAAATGGTGGACTGCATTGTTTGGCGACCCCCATGAAATGGTCGTTCGACCCCAAATGGGGTCCCAACCCACAGGTTGAGAACCACTGAATTAGAGGACTGGAGGCTAAAACATACGAAGAACGGTTGCAGGAATTGGGTACGTCTAGTAGTTTAATGAAGAGAAGGACTAGGCATGGCATGATAGCAGTGTTCCAATATTTGAGGGGCTGCCACAAAGAAGAGGGAGTCAAGCTATTGTCCAGCCTGAAGGCAATGGAGGGAAATTGTATGTTTGAACGAGAGCAAAAAAGGAGGTACCCACCAAATTTTTTCATTTTTTCATTTCTCTTTCCCAACTTCCTTATATTTCACATCAGCAATAACATCACAGAGAAAATGTCTCCTATATACTAACATAAGAGTCCCATAGTCGGTCCTAATTTTACACTCAAGTCACTTGACATGCTATACTTCAATGTTTGATCAGAGAGGAGAACATCTCAATCAGTTTATCAAAGGTATGTATCAGAGGGCATCTAACTTATAAAAGGAAAACTACCTCTCTCAAAATTGTGGATCTACTGTGCCCAACACCTTTTTCCATTGAGTTGAAAACATGATGGATCATCTTAAATCTTCCATTGAGCTGAGAACATGATGGATGTACTGTGCCCAACACGTTTTTCCATTGAATTGAGAACATGATGGGTCGTCCTAAATCTTCCACTGAGCTGAGAACATGATGGGTCATCCTAAAACTTCCATTGAGCTGAGAACATGATGGGTCATCCTAAAACTTCCATTGAGAACATGATGGGTCATCCTAAATCTTCCATTGAGCTGAGAACATGATGGGTCATCCTAAATCTTCCATTGAGCTGAGAACATGATGGATGTACTGTGCCCAACACCTTTTTCCATTGAATTGAGAACATGATGGGTCATCCTAAAACTTCCATTGAGTTGAGAACATGATGGGTCATCCTAAATCTTCCACTGAGTTGAGAACATGATGGGTCATCCTAAATCTTCCATTGAGCTGAGAACATGATGGATGTACTGTGCCCAACACGTTTTTCCATTGAATTGAGAACATGATGGGTCATCCTAAATCTTCCATTGAGCTGAGAACATGATGGATGTACTGTGCCCAACACATTTTTCCATTGAATTGAGAACATGATGGGTCGTCCTAAATCTTCCACTGAGTTGGGAACATGATGACTCATCCTAAATCTTCCATTGAGCTGAGAACATGATGGATTTAATGTGCCCTATACCCTTTTCCACTGAGTTGAGAACAGGATGGGTCATCCTAAATGATTTCATTTGATATGGTGGTCTACCAAATCTAGGAAACCCACAGATAGAAGGTCAAGATATATCTCCTCAACCATCTTTGCTGTGGGCACCTAGCATGCAGAAATTCTAGGCTAGAAATAAATGACTAGTAGTTCTTGGTAGATTTGCCCTCTAGAACCTTGGGTGCTTCTAAGGCCATCTAAATTAGCATCCAACACAACATCTTGCAACAACACGTTCTTCTACTCAGATCCAACTATGACATCTGAATCACTTCCCTCTTTTTAAATATATTTTACAACAACCACTTCAGCTTTTGCAACAACTTCTTCTTTGTGGTGGGACTGTCTGTTGGGGAAGTGTGGAGAATCTGCACTGTTTGAGTTTAAGCTAGAAGTTCCTAACTTCAGGGTCATAGTTGCCTTGAGTTTGGAAGAACACACCCATGCTCAATGCCATCTTTCCCAAATGAAATATGGAAAGAATAACACTGTTTTTCTTGGCAAAAAATCTTTCAACTAAAATTATGCTTCTGAATTTATTTTTGTCACTCCAAGAGAAGTTCTTCAAATGCTTCCTTGAGGTTCAGGAAGGTCATTGTCTGAACTGCAATAAGATCCGGGTTGAACTGCAGCTGATTTGATTTTTTTTTTTTTCAGTGTAATGCCTATGCAAAGCCATTGTTTGCTTTTGAGCAACACTGGGTTTGAGAAAAATGGTTACAGTTTTGATAAGGGGAAAAAAAAATAACCTGGGCAAGAAAGAACAGTGGGTCATGAAGTCTTTATGAGGTTGCCAATGCTTAAATTGATCAAATCTTGGATGATTCACTGTTTGTTCATCTCCCTTCTTCTAATTTAGCAACACATTCAGAACACTGTATCCCAAAGTGCTTTTTCACGAGGCAACTGGACTTTCTTGTTTTTCTTTGAAGACGTTTCACTTCTCATCCAAGAAGCTTCTTCAGCTCTTGTTCAGCAGCACCTTTGGGATAACTATGACCTGGATGACTGAGAATCTTCATAGACAGTCAGAGCACTGATTGAATAGGGTTGCAATAATCCACATGGCCACGAGATGGCAGCAAAACTATTTGAGCTATGGAACCACTGGTTGCCATCTAATGCTTTGCCAGATGTTTGCAGCCTAGATATGGAAGCTGTATTAAAGTGTTCTTCAAGTCAAACGATGACCTTGACCACTATCAGCACCTGTAATCAATTTCTCCTGAAGTCCTCCAGAATAGTTAGAGATGATCTCCTCCAGATAGAAATCTACAAATCTTGCTACAGCAAAGTCTTTGCTTTTTTTCCATGGTGGAATTAGTGAACTATTTAAGGGTTCTGAATAAGTAGCTACCAAAGCTTTCCCCCCCCCCCTCTTAATAAACAGTGGTTGTCTTCTGCAACAAAGAATAATAAACTGTATTTATATTGTTTTGTAAGTTCATCCTGATTTAAATCAGCAAGAAGGAATTGACAAATGTTTTGTTGCTTTCTTAATGCTTGTTCTTAGCATTCTTAGAAAGTTAAAGGACTGCAAATGTAGAAAAGGAAAAGAAAACTTAAATAACACCACACTTGGAATACTGCATCCACTTTTTTGGTTGCCACAACGTAAAAAAAGATGGCGGGACTCTGGAAAAAGTGCAGAGAAAAGCAACGGAGATGATTAGGGGACCGGAGGCTAAAACATATGAAGAACAGTTGCAGGAATTGGGTATGTCTAGTCTGATGAAAATAAGGACTAAGGGTGACATGATAGCAGTGCTCCAATATCTAAGGCAGTGATGGCGAACCTTTTAGAGACCGAGTGCCCAAACTGCAACCTAAAACCCACTTATGCATTGTCGAGTGCCGGGTGGATGTGGCCCATTGGGTGGGCGTGGCCCATTGGGTGGGCGTGGCTGCGGTGGTAACGGCAGACTGGGTGGGACTAAAAAGTTCAATCAATCAATTCCAACTTTGCAAGATCTTTTTTTTTCCCACGAGAAGTTGAAATGGACTGATTGAACCTTTTTTTTTTTTTTTGCACACGGTGGAAGTCTAAAGCGAAAAGGTTTTATAAAACCCAGCTGAAGGACTGGGGTGACGGCGTGCGTGCCCACAGAGAGGGCTCTGAGTGCCGCCTCTGGCACCCGTGCCATAGGTTCGCCACCACTGATCTATGGGTCTGTCATAAAGAAGAGGGGGGGCGTCAACCGATTTTCCAAAGCACCAGAAGGAAAGACAAGAAACAATGGATGGAAAATATCTGTGGAGATTCTCAGTCATCGAAGTCATAGTTATCCCAACGACCTAAAAGTTGATGTTCTCC